GGCCTGGACTTAAATTCCTGGTGTAGAGGAAGTGCCTCACAGCCTGTACCCCTGTAAGGGACTGATCTCCTCCTGGTATGCAGGCTTAAGGCTGGCAGGGGTGAGGAGGAGGAGTGGGCTTTGACAGGGCAGTGACTGGGGCTGGTGCTGACCAGAACAGCCGTGTGCCTGGAGTGGGGCCTTCTGCTCCTGCATCGCTGTTCCTTGACTGCCAGCAAGCACATGTGGACTACCTGGGCAGGATATGCCTAATCATCCTCTTGTGTTGGCTCACGCTGAGTCTGGGCATCTACAGCTGGGCTGTTTATCAGCTGCTTAACTCAAGACACGTGTTTTGCAGTGCCTCATACGAGATCCAGCTTCAGTAAATGACCTGTGACAGCTCGAGGTTCTAGTATGGAATCTTTTATTTAATGCAAAGCAAGTTCAAGGAGCATGGAGAAAGTCGTTGTCAGATTACGTGCGAATTACACTAAAAGAAGCTGCCATGTTTGAGCATGAATTGGGTTTATTCTGTTTTCAGAAAGCAAAGTGATGCTTAAAAGTTGTCTGTGAGGCTACACTTGCATGGCCTACCTCTGCATGTAGCTGTGGCCGTGCTTTGCCCTCTCCCAGGAATCACTTCTTCCATTCATTGCAAAGGGTGAACTTACCCTGAGTATGGACTGAAGCAAGTGTATGATTAGGATGGAGGAGCTGAGTTTGGTTTAGTTGAAGCTATTAGAGGCTTTCTGCAAATCTGAGTTCTTTTTTTCCTTTTTATTTATTTATTTTTGCCTTGTGTGGCATCATGCACTTTATCTGAACCAAGCTCTCCTGCTGGTCTCAGAGCTGCTGTATTTGTCTGGAATGCCCAAGCTGAAATTGTCTAGGCTGTCTTCCAGGAGTACTGAGCACTGATGCGCTTTAAATGGAGTTCCCTAAAAAGACCAGCTCCTTGGAGAGGATGTGCGTTATTTCCTAGGTCTGTATGTCCTTTATGAAAAAGGAATAGCAGCCTCAGGCTCATGGCAACATGGAACACGTCATACCTGATCATCTTCAGCTATGTTAACTATGAGCAACATAGGGGAAGCACAGGAGGAATCCTCTGCCCAGCATCACCTAGGCAGTGATGCAGTTCAGCTGTTGAGAAGAGGACCAGCTGTAACTGGTCCCTTGTTCACCACCCTGCTCACCATCAGGAAGGTAGGCTCTTTGGGGAGGGATGGCAGGATGTGAGCCTAACACTCCCGTGTGTGTGCAAGGGGGTGATTTGCCAGCTCGGTCGTATTTCAAGCATTCGCAGGAGCTTCTCCTTTGCTCTTCTCTCCTCTAGTATAGTTCATGTTTGAACAGCAGAGCTGTTGCTGTTTCTGAGCTGTGAGATGTTTGCACTGGAGATTCGCAGTGATTTCACTTATTAGCAGCTTCATGTCTACAGTGGTACAGCTGGGCACAGAGGCTCTTCACAGTTGGCAGAAAAAACAAACCAGTCTAGCTGTAAATGAGATGGGAAAATCATAGGCCTGGCTGGGCTCCCAGACCAGCGGCGTGCTTCCCTTTTGGAGGCAAATGGCACCCAAACCAGCTCCAGCAGCTAGCTTTTGTTCTCCTCTCCAGCCATGCCAAACCTGTGCATATGGTGTGAGGTTTGTGCTGGCTGGAGCTGAGTTCCCCTGGACTCAGGAAGTTGTTCAGTGCAGCCAATGCCAGGCTGCAAGGCCGGAGCAGGGACAGGCTGGGGTGGCTCCCCAGTGTTGGCAGCAGTGGGATGGGATGGGATGGGATTGGAAGCCATTCCTCCTGGGAGGGAGCAGCTGCTGCCACTACCTCCTGCCTGCTCCTGGCTCAACCCTGGCTCTGGCGCAGCTCCCCAGTTGTATTGCCTGCAGCAGCAGCCAGGCTGGCTGTGCTGCCTTTGCCAGGGAGCATCCTGCCAGTATGGAAAGCAATACTGTGTCCCTCAGAGCCGGGCGGGAGCAGGGTGACGGCAGGCTCCAGCTCCTGCTGTGCCAGGCAGCTGGCTGCACAGTGCTGAAGAAAGCCGTTGCTTTGGCTAGTGTGTGACTTCCAGCATCGCTGTGCTCCCTCCCTCTCGTTGCAAGGGCTTCCCCAGCAGCTCTCTGTCCCCTTCCCTGCCATTTGTGAGAGGCCAGCCCCTAGTGTGACAGTGGCCTCCAGAAAGGCTGGCAGTCTCCCACCATCCCCGCAGCCTTTCCTCAGGGAAGTCCAAGGAAGCGCCCATGCACATCCTCATAACCCTGGCTGGAAGAGCGGCGGTGGCTGCCTGACACAGGAGGAGCCAAATGGAGATGTAAAGACAAGGCTCAGTGCCCAGCCCTCTCCTGTTGCCAGCAGCGGGGTGCCAGGGCTCTCAGCATTTGAGCCGGCAGCAGGCAAAGCAGGAAGAGCTGATGAAATTGCCCACGAGGTATTTACTGAAGAAATGTGCTTGGTGGTGTTTAAGCGAGGCCATCACAGGTTGCGTCAGGTGCTGGTGACGGGCTGCATTGCTGTGGTTGATGTCATAGGAGGTAATGCTGGCTGAGTGAGTGACAGGCAGTGCCCAGGCTCCTCTCAGGTGCATGCAGAGGTGGTGTGAGGGAACCTGAAGCAGAGGCTTTGGTGAAGAGCCTGCACAAAGGGATGGAGGAGCTCCCCTGGTCCAGGGGGAACGGGAGCAGCAATCCCCTCCAGGGAGGGTCCAACTGGTGATGGAGCCATTCAGCACATGGGAGCTTGATGCTCTTTCTCCACTTGCTTTTGAAAAGCTGCTTCATGTATGCTGCATTTGGCTGCCCTCAGCCTCTCTCCCCTGCAAGCAGAGGTATGCAAGAGCCCAGGGTTTCTGCAATGAAAGTGCCATTGGACTTTATCAGCAGAAGCAGCATCTGGAAAATATTCTCAGGAGCTTGAGTCTGAGATGTGCACATGAAACCAAGCCAGACTGTGGTACTGGTCTTTTGCTGGGGTAGAGAAGGGCACCGTCCCCTCTTAACCCACTTGGAGCGTGTGGCTCCTCACTGTGACTGCTGCCACACCAGCGTGGGATGTGCCAGGCTCTTGCTAAGGATAAACCCACTCAGGTCAGTCTCCTGCCTTTGTGCCCACTCCCAACTGCGAATGGCTGCTGTACATCCAGGGCTGATTTTCCTACTGTTTTGTAGGGTGAAGACATCCCTGTCTGGCATACTGGAAGGTTTAGCCATCCACCTGCTCTGACCCAAGGCATGAGGCAAGGAAGGGTATGTGTATGTGCAAGATGCGTGTCCCTGCCCACAGCTCAAACATCCTCAATGCCCACCGCAGCATCCAGGGTTACCTCAGCCTGCAGTGGGGTGTTTCCAAAGCCTGTAAGGGGTGTAACAGAGATTTTGGGTCCCTTTCCACCTGGCTGGGAGGAAATGAGCTGCAGGTTTAGGGCTTGGGAAGCCCCTGATGTGTGTGGTAGCCAGATGTGGCTGGGTAGGGCTGATGGACATCCCTCACTGCAGAGCAACACCTGGACCCTTCTCCCATTGAGCCTTGCCTTATTGGAATAACCCCTGACGCCTACAGTGTGTGTGTTTGTGGGGGTGAGTGGGATCTTGCAGGAGGTACAGCTGTGATTTACAGTGCTGTATCAGGATGGCGGTGGGATGCTGCTCATCTGGAAGTGAGAGGTGGTTCCTCTCACAGCTGCTCCTCCGCTGGTCAGATGCTCTGGCCTCAGATCTGTTCGCGTTTGCTGACCTATTTTAATGTGCTATGCCCAGCACATGACTCAGGAAGTTGGGAGCAGCTGCTCTTCCTAGGGACTTTTCTCTTGCTGTAGGGCCATGAGCTGCTATCTCTGCCAGGCAAACAGAGCATGCAGTGGGATTTGCTTAACCCCATGCTGGAGACCAGGAATGGGTAGGTGTGCCTAGGGTCTGCTTTGATGGCAAAAAACGTAAGAAAGCCATTTGCCTTCTAAGGCTAAAACCATGCCTAAGTGCAGCTATCCCACTGTGGATCAGCAGCACTTGGGAAGAAAAGGGCTGTGTTTGCCTCCTAATAAATGGTGAAGACAAACCGCGTGTACAGAAGCAGGAGCTTCTGTAGCAGAAATGGTTGCTGAGGTGCGCATGTGCTTCCTCCCCTGGGGAGCAAGCACACCAGGCTTTTGAGTGCAGTGGGCCCAGTGCAGCTCCCTTCTTCCTCAATCTCTCCATCAAACCTTTACCCTTATTTTTTGGTTAAAAAAGTAATCCAGTTCTCACACCTATCCTATTCCCTTCAGTTACATCTGAGGCACAAACTTGCTATGTCAACTAAGCCAGGTATAGCTCATGTCTTTACTCTCTCAGTGCAGGTCTCTTTACAGGACCATGTTCATCGTGGGTTTAATGCACCTGAAATCAAACATGATTCATAGGCAGGAGGTCACCGTGTATTTCTGTATCTCTTTTTAGCCGAGTGGAGATGGGACTGCTAATCCTTTCTGACAGGGAGGTCACCCTTGAGAGTGCTGCCCTAGGAGGGCAGCACCAAGGGCATGTGCATGGAGCTGCGGGAGCTGTGCCAGCCAGTTGGGCATGCCCTGAGCCGGTGGCTCCTCCGTCTGCGAGCAGCTCTTGACTCCTCAGACTTGACAGCAGCCCCTTTTCCTTCCACGCTGTCTTCATCTTCTTTGGCTGCTTCTGGCTCTGATAAGGTCACTGCATCTGAAGCCTGGAAACCGTGTCCAGAATAGCTTCCAGTACTGCAGTTGCTCCTCTCTTCCTTGCCGTAACACTGCCTTCAGTGAAGCAAAACCCGCCACAGCGGGAGCTGTAACATCCTGGAAGGTTCCCACCAGGACCTGGTTGTGACTGGTCCCCTGAGTGTCGGGTGGCACTTGCCCCGAGGAGGCAGCAGCTCAGTTAGATGAGCTACACACCTCTCAGGAGGCCCAGAGGGGCGCAGGTGGTTTCCAAAGTGGCAGACCTGGCAGAGGAGGCCAAGGCAAGGCTCTGCTTTGCTGGCCTGATAGCCTGCTCCCTTTGAGCAAACACAGTGTGTACTCATTGGTGCTGGAGTGACTACAGATGGGGATGATGCAGAGCTCAGGGTGAGACCCTGTTTCCATCTGTAGCCATTGGCTGTGGCATCCCTACCACTGATGGTGGTGGTCCTCGATCATGTACATCCACATCACCCTGCCAGCACCAGGACTCCTACCCTGCCCCAGAGGTGACAGAGCTGTGGTCTGTGGGGTGCAGTTGACTAGTTCACAGTGTGCGCTCCATGGTCAGAGGTCCCAAAGTTCCAGTAAAAACAGTGGCACAGCAACCAGGAGCATTTCTTGGTATCCCCATGAGTTGCTGGCACATCCCTCCTAGCCAGGCCACCATTTCTGCAGTGTTTGCGTCCCTCCACCTGTACAATGTCCCCATGAGTTTGGTGAAGGGATATGGTGTAGGGCTGTGATTAGCACCAAACATGACACGCTGAAGCCTAAGTATCTATTTAGAATATGCCATATATTTGTTTTTAGTAAGATGGTATGGAGCAGTTCATACAAAAAGAGAAAAAATGGGTGCTCCCCATGTGTCTGTAAAGCTCTGTGACAGCACCAGCTGGGCAGGGGCTGCTTCTATGAGCAGGGCAGTGCTGCTGCAAGGGGAAAAGTGCCCATTTCTTAGCCGCTTCTGCAGTGAACTAACAGGCAGTGGTAAACATACCTCCACTTTTGGTGGGTCATCCATAACCCCTTCCCAGAGGTTAAGTCCACATCTGGGCAAGACTCTGGATGCTGTGCCAGCAGTGTCAGGAGGGATCTCCTCAGCAGAGCTGGCGTAGCTGAAGCTAACTAGCCAAGCTGTGCTACTTTCCTTCACCTAGTTACATGTTAAGTACTGCAGTTCAGGTTAGGTGCTATGTCCTCCCCTGTGGTCCTGGCTGAAGGCCACACCAAGCCCAGGAGATGCTGCCTCCCTCCTAGGACCACCAAAGGCCTTGTTCTGGGAGGGCTATGCCTGGGCTGCTCCAGACCAGGATGCTCCAAATCCTGGTGGTGCCCACTGTGGGACAGGCAGACAGTGTCCCCTGCCCCTCTTGCTCCTCTATGGCCAGATCTGCTCCACAGAGCCCTCTATACCCCAAAGTGGTTCTGTGGGAGGCAGGGTGATGGTGGCATGCCAGCCATGCTGACAACCCTGGCCATCCTGGCTGTGAGCTGGTGTCTGGGAGGAGCAGCTCAGGAGGTGGAGTGCTGGGAGCTGAGCCTGCTGGTCCTCACTCAGGACTGTTACCATGGGCTTTTGAGGATGCAGCAGCTTCCACCGCTGGCACCATGCTGGACCATGTGGTGAAGAACACAGGATGTGCTGCACTGCACTGTTAACACTTCAAGTCCCCAGTTTGTTGCAACGGGTATCACAGAACAGCCTGAGCCCCCATGTCCTCCCTTCCTGCCATTCCGGCCAGTGGCAGCCCCCTTTCCCCGGATCTCTGCTGTGTAAGGTGTGTGCAGGCAGCGTCACCGCAGGAGCAGCACCAGGGGCAGGAAGAGCAGCGTTGGTGAGACGGAGATCTCAGCAGTGCCACCGCAGTCTTGGGCGTTTTCCTGGGAGACAGGAGAGAAGGTGTCAGTGTGCTTACAGCCAGGGTGGCTGCTGGCAGAGGAAAGGGAGCATGCAGCTTGTCTTTGGAAGGGGAAGCAGTGCCTATATCTGAAAGGAAGGATCACTACGGGCAAAGGAAGGGACTGGTTTGATTCCTGTGGGCTAGGAAGACATTTGCTTCCTTGGCTTTCACCATGCTCTGCCCCACACCCTGAAACCCATCCTTCAGCCTCGGAGGCTGCAGCAGTATGTGCTCCCACATGTACGTCCCCCCTGCAGCTCCTTCCAGAGTCCCCTTCCTGCAAGCAGCTCCTTGTGCCTGCTCCTGGCTCCTGGCACTGTGCGAAGGTGCCTGGACCAAACTGCTGCCAGCCAGCAGGGAGGAGAGCTGCCTGCCTGCACCAAGCCCAGGCTGCAAGGGCTGGTTCCAGGAATCAGCGCTCTTCCAACAGGTGAAACCCCCAAAGAAACCCAGTAACCCTGTGGTGTCTGAGCTCGGGGCCTTCCCAGGTACCATTAGCCTGACTCAGGGGCTTGGAACCCCTTGAGGAGTCACAGGGCCGTGTCTGTGTCCAGTCAACAGGTGGGCACATGATACACACAGCGCAGGGGTGCAAGAGCAGACCACCATGCCCATGGTGAAGCCCAGCCAGGGCGTGCTGTCCCTCCCACGCTGCCCTGCAGTACCTCAGGATGGAATGCGTGGCACGTGTCCGGCCGCCGCCGCAGCTTCTGGGACCGCATCCGTTCACACTTCACTGAAGCGTTATGTGCGAGGCTGTTAAGGACACGCAGCGGCAGGCAGGGGAAGGGCGATGAGCACCGCACAGAGCCATGGGGCCCTGATGTAAGTCATCTCGGTCTAACTGCACAGTGGCCTGGGAGACAGAGCGCGGAGGACACGGGAAGGGCAGGTTGCCTCGCATGGGCTGGAGACATCGCCAAGCTCGAGAAGGTGGCAAGGAAGGACCCACAGCTGAAAGTGGTAACAAGCTGCACAGTGTCACTGCCCTTATGAAGAGCAAGGGATGAGGACCGGACAGGGATGAGTTATGGGAGCAGTGCTGGGGAGCTAGCCCAGCTGCACCCATCCCACCGTTGATCCTTTCCTCTGGCTTTTCCAACCCTCATCCTCACACAGTGTATCCGACAGCCTGGCCAGTGGAAGCTGGCTTCCCTTTGAGGGTATGGAAGGCAGAACCGATACCTCCTCTCCACTACACTGCAACCCTACCTGCTCCATATCTCTCCCCAGCTGCCCCACACCCGTGGTGACTGCCCTGGGAGCACATTTTCCACCCTACCAAACATGGAGATGAAGGGACCTGTGGAGCTCAGTGCCCCAGCTGCACACACATTGAAGGATATATTTGACCTCTTTCACATCCAGCAGGACGGGTGGGAAGATACTGCAGTCGCAAACAGCATCTGTGACAAGGAGCAGCAGGTTACTGCTGATGATCTGCTGCGCCACAAACATCCTGCAAGGAAAGAGCAGGTTGGAGAAGGTACATCCCTCCCACTGCAGTGCCAGAGCGGCATCACCTGGCCCACAGCAAAGAAACACAAAGAAAACAGGAAACGGGATGTCAGTAGAAAGTGGGAAAGACACAGCAAGCAGCTGTATACAGTAGTGTTAGTACACCTTTTTTTTTTGCCTCAGGAAGCTCCAAATTGTCTCAGATTTGCAGCTCCGTGCTAGGTACAAAAGCCAAAATTAAACCCAAACCCCAATCAAAAATACGAGGCAAAACCCAACACAAACCCTCCCCAAATGGGTCAACATTTAGCATTTAAATGATTCCTCATTAGCATTTAACTGCAGATAACACCAGAGAAGGCCTGGTTTCATCTGGAGATGTGCCAGTGTCCATTCAATGTATGTTTATGCATATACTTTTACAATGCAAAGATCTATGTACTAAGTGTTCCTGCAAGGAACAGAGTTTTGCTAAATTTCCTGTTACTGGGGTGAGAAATGGAGGATCCCAGTAGCATCACGTTATGTCTGTGTGATGGGACTGGTGCTTGTTCTTGCCTACTGTCACGAAAAGCATACATCTTCACTTTGCAGCCACGATTTCTCCTGCCTGTCAGACAAGCAGGCTATGGAACAGGGCTGGTGACAAGCACAGGCATGTGCCGGTGGGGATGTCTCTAGATCCCAGTGTTTTCCCAAGGATGTGCACGTGAGGGCTTGTGGCAGTGCTGCTGCCCTGCTCCTGCAGGCGTTGGAGGGCTCGTGTGGGCTGAGCAGGATGAGGTCAGGCACGTGTTCCAGCCGTGTGCTGACAGGGTTCTGTGCACGAGTGTGTGTGCACAGCTCAGCTGTGTCCCTGTGCTCACGTGGCTGCGTGTGACTGTGAGCTTGCACACGGGCACATGCACCTCTGCGTCACCCTGGGTGAGCACATGGAGTGGCAGAGGGGGTGCGTGTCCAAGCGTGCGCACGCGGGTGTCACCGCAAGGTGCTGTACGTGTCTGGGCAGCTCACCCACCACCTGGTGCCCTGCAGGCATTGCCTGCCCTCTGCCAGCACAAAGCCAGGCTCAGCTGCCCATGCTGTCATCCTCCACTGCGGGCCAGCAGGCTGTGCTGCCACTGGGCACAGGGAAGGCCAAGTGCATCAGGCTCGGTGTGCTTGTGCTGGTGGCACGGGTGATGCTGCAGCCAGAATGGGGCTCTGTGTGCTCACCGCCTCTCAGCCAAGAGGGAGGGCTTCTGGATGAGAAATACAGGTTTGTGAGGCTGTGCCTGCTGCACCAACAAACCTGGCTGTGCTGCAGATGGCCCTGCCTGCCTGGTCAGTCACCACTTAGCCTTGCTGCCCTCTAGCCTCCAGGGATTTCCTTACTCACATTTAGAGGTGTTGAATGTGACATGCTTCAACTATTTCATTAGTATTCCTGGCTGAAGACAGCCTTCACCCACACACACATTCAGTAACCAGGCTACAAGTGCCCCATGCACCAAGCTGATGTTTACCCAAGGTGGAGCACCCAGCTCCCCTGGGAACCACCTGGGATTGCCAAATATGAACAGGAAAACCTTCATGACCAAGCAGGCCACTGGTTAATGCTCCTCAGAACCTGTGTCAGGGTTTGTGTTGCTCCCAAACACCTGCACAAGAGATGTACCCAGCATCCAGATGCTGCAACTTTGCCTATAACTACAGAGGAGCCAAGCAGGACTCTGCTGCTGCTGCTGGCACAGTTGAGGTGCTGCCTCTAGCAAGTAGAGATCAGCCCCAGCCTGTGTTGGTGTTGCAGATCAGTGCAGCAGAAGCATAACACACAAACAGGTCAGTTTGGAGCACCCGGCTCCTCTGGATCTGCCCACAGCTTTTTGCACCTACTCGGTACCTTGTGGTCACCTCTTCTACAACAATGTTTGGCAAGGCCTGGTTTTCCATGGCTGTTTTCCTAACCTTTAAGTCTTTCCTGCAGTTAATCCAAGGCTGAAGTCAGACTAGGTGAGACTGTTGGCTTTTTTGTTAAGAGGGATTCCAGTCAGCTCTGTTTGGACATCTCATGTTAGGAAAAGCTGGACCAGTGGAAATTCATCCTTCTGCATGTGATTGCTGACAGCATCCGCTCAAAACCAGCCTCTTTTCACAATGACTTTTCTGTTAGTTTGGACTGTTCATTCTCTTAAAATGAAACCAGAAAATAAAAAGGTCTACCTGTGATTTAATTTCTTTTAGTTTAACACTTCCTTTAGCCCAATATTTTTTTCTCCTTTTTTTTTTTTGGTAGAAAAACAGGAAAGGGAGAGAATAAAGTAAAAGGAAAGCTGAAAGCACTGCAAAAAAGGAAAAATTTCTAAGGAGAAAACTGTTGCCAGAAATGTGAAAAAACAGACAAAGTTCCTTTCTGAAATCTGTGGAATGGAAAGACACATATATATGTATATATATATACATACTTAAATGCTTTCCCCCTCATTCTACAGCCACCTCTGCTTATTAACTGATGTTTTTAGCTTTTTCCTCTTTAACTGTGAACCAGTAACCTGATCACTTCACCCCCTCATTGTCCAGCGTGGCTGTTTAGCTCTGCTCTGTGGCCAGAGCTGTGGATGCAGTGGTGGCCATGCTATGGGCACAGCAAGCAGGTGACTCTCCTCATGTTGCTGTCGTCACCCGTGGGCTCTGCAACAAGGATCATGATCTGGGGAACCTCAAATGAAAGGGAAGCCACAGCTCTTACTTTTGGCAGTCTCCACACTCTATCAGCCCATTGGTCTCCTTGATGGCCGGCTCGTACACGAAAACGGGGTACTCAGTGTCACAGGGCTGCAAGATGTCGTGCTTCTTGTGCTTGTGAGCTGCGATGGTAAGGATACAAGGTGAGAAAGCAAGGGCAGAGGACTGTCCAGGAGCTGTCTGCACTGTGACAGAAGCATGTAAGACTGGTGATATAGGTTGGAATAGTCCTGAGTTTCCCCTCCCTGACAAGTGTCCAAGAGCAGGTGCCTTCCAGAGAAGGGGAAGGAGATGCTGCGGAACGCAGTCAGGCAGTGAGCCCTGCTCCCACTAGGTGGTGTGGGAAAACCGGCCTATGTAAGAAATGAGCCCAATATTCCCACTTACCTCCCCCAAGGAAGTCTGAGCCCTGCCCTGCTGAAGCCACAGCCATGGGACTGCAGAGGCCACAGCACCCCGGGAAGCCCTGTGACCAGTTAGGCAGGGGCATTTAGGCACTGGTAACCCTGTGTTCGAAGGAGGGGGTGTCTACCAAACCAGCGGTGAGACCCTCTTGCCTAACCCAGCCCTGGTTCATACACTTCTTTAAACATTCAAAGCTGCAACTGGGCGGTCCTCAGTGCCAGTGCTGAGAGAAGTGCCCTTGCAGGGACCCTGTAAGTCCGTGGTGGAGCTCTCCATCAACCACTGATCGTTCCTGAGCCCTCTGACATGATAGAGCGAGCCCACAGCTGGAATCTGAGGGTTGAATATGTGTCACATTAAAAAGAAAACACTGCCAGCAAACAGATCTGGCCTGAGCCCACAGGGAAAGAGGCAATGGCTCTCAAGGACCAGCAGAGACCCAGCTAATGCACAGTGCTGGCTCCTGGAGGGAGCCATCCACCGCAGAGGCAGGGAGCAGCTGCTCCATCACTCATCAGTCACACACACTTTGTGGGACTCCCAAACTAATTTGGGGATGAGGGGGAGCTGAACTGCCTTCCCGAGCCTCCCTTGAGAAGCAAGAGCATTCTTTCTAGGAGATCAGCAAAGTCTGCCTTGCCTCCAACTACTGCTCTGGGCCTTCCTGGCAATTATTTTCTGCAGTTTGAGCTAGCAAAGCCAGCTCCTGCCTCTGTAACACACAGGGGGATGCCACTGACGGAAATGTGAGGCTTTTTTTGCTAGAGCAGAGGTGGTTGCTGCTCAGGCAACAAGTATGAGAAGTGGTTTCTACATTAGCTTTGGGTCTGAGCACAAAAGACTCGCCCCATAGAGCTTCTGCAGGCAGCCCTGCCAGGGGACGGGCAGGACAGAGTCCTGATGTAGAGGGTGACCAGCTTAACCCTTGCAGGAGCGGTGCTAAAGATTTATGGAAAATGCAGCAGCATGGGTTTTAATCAGTGAATGTGAGGTGAGAAGGCAGCGAGAGGAGAACTGTGATTCTGATGGGTAATTTGCATCACTGTAAAACCCTCACTGAGAGCTATGGTCTCCTCTGTCCCTGCACTGCCAGAGCACACAGAAAGAGTCAGGCACTCCCTTGCAGAGCCTGCTGTCTAAACAATGGGATTACATGAGACAGAGAAAAGCTGGATGATTTTCTCTGATTTTTTCTCCCCACCATTGTGATCCAGCAACACGAGACATCCATTAAGAGGCAGGAGCTGCAGCCCAATCTCCTCTTTAATGACTTCCTAGGTGAATATGATGGAGACTGAAACACCTCCCTGCGGTACAGAGCCCCCAGTAGTTGTGCCTTGTGCTTTCTGAACTCCCCCAAAATGTTACCTTCAGGGCAGCCTCCTACTTAAGTCCTCCCAGACTGCAGGCCCCACCTTTTGGTATCACGGTTAGGTTCATTTTGCACAGATCCAAAAGCACACAGGGCTTGATTTCAGCATCATGCCTTGTTCTGTATTCACCCTGGATTCACGCTAAATTAATCAACTGAGCTCGTTGTTTCAGGGTCTGGCAGCCAGGAGCTGCCTGGCTGTGCTCTGCCACTACTCACTGTCCCTCTCTGCAAACCCACACTGCAGAAGCATGGAAAAGCCTCTCCCATTTTTGCTAATGGAGAAAACCTCTGTCTAGTACCTGTCATAGGGATGGACAGTCCTGAGGATATTCGGGATGAGCAGCAGAAGGCCTGTTACTGAGATGAATTTCAAAGGCTTAGACATTTCTGATGAAACATGCAGAATATCCATTTAGGCTGGAAGGAGAGAAGCCACAAATGCTTTCCATGTCAGACCAGCTCCAGGCTGGTCCCTGATGGACGAAAGAAGTGTGAGGAACTGAGTGGGAGCCCTTTCCTTCAGCCTTAATTCACTGTGCTAGTGGCTGGGAAAACAAACTCTGAAACAGGGGGCCAAGCTACTGTAGTCTGGGCCAGGGACCGACCTTCTTAGGGACATGCTTGTGGTAAGACCACACACTGGTCCCCCAGCCACAAACCATCAATGTCCCATTGTGTTACCCCTGGATTTGCAGCACTCCTTGCTGGCCTGACCCGCACACATGGGCAAGAGCTATGCCTCAGCTCTGGACACAGCTCTAGAGAGGCAACACTTGAGCAGTAATCCTGGACTGAGCCCTGCCATGGTGGCTCTCGCAGGAGCAGCCTGTGTGTCTAGAGGTAAGTAATGGGGAGTGGGTTAGTCCCTTCAGGGGCGCTTTTGCCACTGGCAGTATGGCCTAAGTCATGCACAGAAGTTGCATTTCTGTTTGAGTCTTTCATGACCATCTGCAATTTGTCTTGATCTGTGTTAACTCCATCATGTGCACCAAGTTATATTTTTAAACTCAGCTAAATTGGCACAAGTCCCCTGCATAGACTGTCTTCAATCAGTTTCTTGGCACAGGCTAAATGAAAAGAAGCCCCTTTAAAATCTTCTAACTTCTGCGCAGAGACAAGACCTATGACAGAGATTATGCTTAAGCCTCCTGCCACTTAATTTGCTTGGAAGCAATGCAGCTGCAGCAGTATTGAGAAGTTCAGAGAAGCCCAGTAGCACGTACATCATCAGCAAAACGCCTGGGCTGAGCCTCTGCATGCACATGCTGGACATCAAAACGTTATCAGTGCTCCAAGAGCCTGGTGGTCAGGGATTAGTAAACAGCCAGAGGAGCTGATAGCAAATTGCAAACTTTATAGCAAAGAGTGAGTTAATTCCAGGCTGTCGTTGCTATCATCTGCACTGCCAGAAAGACTTTGTAAGACGTTTGGCAACCAATCCTTCTGAGTAGCAAAGGCAGCTGCCACGCTGTGTTATGAACTATACAGCCCGGACCGTGAACTCTTTCCCACCAACATAAATCACAAACCCAAGCCAGTGGATTTACTCTGGGACACCAGAGAAAGTCTGCTACTTAGTTACAAATACAAACCAGAGAATTTAATCGATTAACTTGCAAAATATCCTTTGTGTATATTACTGTGCAGTCAAAAAAGAAACTTTAGTGAGCTACACAATTATAGAAATAGTCCTTTCTAGGCTGCATTCCTTGGTCGGAAGTGGTTTTGGCTTAATTAAAAGCTTTCAAACCTGTGCTGAATGTCCATAAAAGCAGAAGACCTTACAGACACAAAGAGGAATGAGATGCTGAGAGCAGTGAAAAATCCATGGCAGCAAACATGTCTTCTTACCACCTCTGAAAAGCCAATTTGCATGATGAGTGCAGTCTGAATACATCATGCCCGTATTCCAACAGCAAGGCCTGCCTTCCCAGAAAGCAAGAGAACTTGGGAAGCAGAAACAGGCTCAGCGCTGCAGAGCTAGAGGTGCACAGTCAGGCAAGGGTGAGCATTAGGTCCCTGGCCATTAATTCCTCTACCTATATCCCTGAATAAATGTGTGCTCAATTTCTCTCTCACAAAATGTCTCCTTCTCTTCATATTTTTTGCATACACCAGCCTTGGCATGCAGTCAAGGAAACGTTAACATCTCTGGCAAAAATCTACAGCCCCTTCTCAACAACATGTGCAATCCATTTCTTCCAGCCCCAGTAGTATTCTTCCACCCCGCTATTCCCTCCCCCACCCCCAGACACTCTTTTGCTTCCTCTTCTTCTTACAGTGAGACACATTCCAACTGTCTCTATTTCTCTATCTCTGTCTCACACATATGTCTTACTGGGCAGAGAGCAAATCGGCAAATACAAGCTAGATATGGAAGCAGGAAGATACAAACACAGCCACAGTCTGGACTGTGTCTTGGAGGGATTTCTAACTTGCCTGTAGGAGTGGATTTATGAGCTAGAGCATATACTTATCGAGCTGAACTGCCTGAAAGTAGTTGTGCATTATCCTGGGGCTGGGCTGGGGTTCATCAGAAGGAGCTAAGCCGTGGGGTGTGGAAAAGAAGACTTAAGTTGCCTCTTAATAACTGAAGTCTATGAGACCCATATAGTTTTTCCTGAAATAGGGCATGGATCGGTCTTTGGTTTGGTGTAGTAAGTGAAAAGAATGGGGCAGCTGGGAACCAAAGTGAAGGACATGCCATGGTACGTGGGCCATGTGCCCATCTACACCGTAGTGATGGTGTTGTCTGTACCCGCAGTCCCTGAGGAGGCTGGTGTGCCCCTTCCTTTACTGACTTCTCAGTGACAGACCTTCAATTGCCAGCTAAACAAGGAACAGAATCACTTGCTTCTTTTCAGTGCAGGGCAATAGAGCCCGGCACTGCCTTGTCTGTCACCTCTTTCTGCAAGGTCCCCATTGTCTAAAAGAAGCCTTTCCTAGCTGGGGTTTCTAGCTAAATCCTCCTCTTTTTGCTGTTAAGTAGTTTTACTTACAGTGATGGAAGACAGCTTTGGCTGGACAATTCGCGTGACATACATACAATGATGATGGAGCAACATGACAGTTTCATATGATGGCAGAGCAGTGAAGAGATGAATTTGCACACAGCAGCCATGGAGGTGATGCAGGAAAGAGATGAAGAAGGCACAAAAGGAACTGGTGATGAGCAGGACAGCAGTGAGAACCCCCTCCCTTTTCCCTCCCATCTCTTCAAGCAAAGACTAAACCAAACTATGCAGCCACTGAGCATCCACAGCAGCTCCCTGCAGGAACAGCAGGTTGGTCTGTCCTCCAAAAAGAGCAGTCGCTCTTGCACTGCCACAAGTACTGCACTTGCATCTGACTCTTCCTCACCAACTTCTGCACAGGGCCATTCCTGATGCATGTTAAGCAGCAGCCTACATAGAGGATAGCTGCAACTTCTACCACCATCTCTGGTGATCATCTTTGGAGGAGGTGAGTGGCACATACACAGTACCCAGACACTGGGCTGGTTATCTGACTGGAAGGGAATTCTGCTTTCTAAAAAATACTTTTTCCCCGTTATGCCACGAGAGTTCAGTGCAGAAGACAGCCTCACAGTTAGCAGGGAAGTTACCACTGTCCATTAAAACACCTTTAGTGCTGAACAGTGAGGGTGTAATAACGGCACCTGCATGGCATGCAGAGCACTCCTCTCCTTTCCCTTTGGGTCACCTCCTGCCTTTGCAGCTGATGGTCTCTCTTATCCTATGCAAGTAGGATGGGGGTCCTCAGAAAGAAGAGCCTCCCCCTGCCCCAGTTACCTTGAGGAAAGCCACACACACCTCACCCTCACTGCTCTGGTGCTGTGGCAGCCTGAAATGGGCATGGAAACAGGGGGAAACGGGGTGGTGGTGGGACCTGAAAGCTGGATTCCAGTGCCTGTGGAGGGAGAAGTGGCAGGGCAGATGGCTGGCTCCTCGCACGGGGCCAGGCTTCCCCATACAGCTTCTTCTGCCACCAGTGGCTGTAGCACTCATGTTCTATGGGGCTGCTGGACTCTTGTGTACTCACCATCTGCCAAGTTGTCTGAGTGCCAGAAGCTACTCATGCTAAACTCCAAAAGGAAGCTGTCAAAAGAGCAAAAACAGAGGATGCTTTTTCAGCAGCCTGGAAGGGTGCAGGTGTCAGGGAGATGGCCCCATTGCCCGATGAGTATCAGTTCTTAAATGTTTACTACAAATCTGTTGGCAGTGGAAGTCTGAGTTGGGTTTGTTTTTTTTTTAATTTATTCTTTTTTTTTTCCCTCTCCACATGATACTGTGTGGCTCTGTATCATGGGATGTGTACTGGGGAATATCTAAATGGGTTTTATCCTGGGAGGGGATTCAGCCACAGTGAGATCCATCTGAGGCACGGATGGCCATCAGGGAGCCCGTACTCTGGCTACTGGGAGGTAGCTGCACATCACATTAAATTATTCTGTACCGATATGCTCAAGCCCTCGGAGCTGGATTTTTTCCACACTTTTCCTTTTGCACACCCAGCAAGCTGAGAAGTGGTATTTTCATCCTAAATTGAGCTTGAACTCCAATTTTCCCCAGCAGTTTGGTGAGCTCGAATCCAGAGCTTCATTCAAGGTCTCCCCCCTCTCCTCCCTTGCCTGTCACTCAGACCTGAGCTCCCTGGCTTCCTTCCTTCAGACTTCGCCCCTGCGAAATGAAGGTGTGCATTCACTCATCACAGGCAAAGGAGACAGGCAAGAGGACTCAGCATCAAGGATCTGCATGAGGCCCCAGGAGACCTGAGTCCTATTTCTGACTCTGCCACTTTGTACTGAGTGACTTCAGGTAAATCCCAGACCTGCTACAGGCCTCTGCCTCTCAAAATGGGAATAGTAATAGCTTTCTGTCTCCCAGGAACAAGGCGCTGAGCTGAATGTCAGGAGAAGGCTGAGAGCAATGCCCTACGCAGGCACCTCTGCTTGCAGCTTTGTCAGCTCTTGCCCCCACTGGACTGAGCCTCCCAAACACCCCAGTCTTTTGGTACTCACATGAGGAAATCACTTATCAGCCATTTCACTGCAGCTAGAAAGGCATAAATTGGCTGGAGAACAAAAGAAGAAATGAGAAATACCGTAAGGACCTGGTCAGAGAGCTTAGAATTGTTATGCAGGACCCCATGTTTCAGACCAGTTCCCTCCACTGATCAGAGCTCTTGAAGACAGGCTGGAAATTCAAGGTCTGGGCACCACTGGAAAATGTCCAAAATACATCAAAAGCCAGCAGAGCTGCCTTGCTACTAATAATATCTTCTCACCCCCTCCCTGTCAGGGTCAGGGAGTTTATCACAAATGTATGAAGGACTTTGAAGATGTAATTGCTTGATGATTTCTCTCCAGTATGGATGACCTTGAAAGCTCAGAGCAGGAGAGAAACACAGCTAAATGGGACACCACCAGTTTAGGGTGCTTTTGTGTTCTGTTAGCAAGTGGTGTTTCTGGGACAAGTGACAGCATTGCCCAGGATTTAGTATCATCTGTCACTGATTGATTATGCTTAACTGTGCTTTCATCCAGCTTTTTCTCAAGATGGCATGACTTCTATCATCTTCTTGCTTTTCAGCTACAAATTGGAAATCCAGCATTGTCCCAGGGACAATTCATCTGCAGAGGATCCTGCTGCTTCTTTTCTTCATGGTAACCATGTCTAATTTTCATCTCTCCCTCTCATAATCATACCCTTATCCTCAAATCCAAAACACATGCAGCAGTCATAGGACATAAGATAATGTTCCATTACTGCTAACTGACTTATCTTCAGCCAGAGAAAGTCAACAAAGAGTAAAATGTACAGATGGTTGGGAATTTGGCTGAGTTTTTATGAATGTACATGAAAAATGGACTTTTCTTGCTTTCTTCCTTTTCAAGGGATTTCCTAAGAAGGGACAATGAGAGATGGAGGCAGAATGCTCTCCTTTTTATTCTCTTCCCAGTTCACCTCATTTTTGGCAGCTCATACTTTGTGACATTTCTTTCAGTAATCAAAATTGGAGGATAATAGCAATGACCAAGCAAATATTTTCACTACCCTCACAGTATTTTCATCTATCCAGCTGATGTACAGCCATTGCAAACCAGACACGTTGTTAAAATGTAGCATATTGTTAAAAAGTAAAATTTTGCTGAAAATTCTTTTACTAGAAATAAATTACAATGTCATGCTGTAAGAAGTATTTCCAGAACACCACATTTTAAAGTATCAAAACCCCAGTCATGACAGTAATAAATACAGCTTGTTTAGGATTGCTTCAACTAGTTTGAAGTAGCCTGAGTGTTCATTACTCAGTTCTGCCTGTTTGAGGACAGGTTAGCAAGGTAGAGTGGGATTAGATTATTAGTTTATATCATCTGAAAGAGAAGGTGCATTTGGGTACTGGCAAAACTATTCACTCTGATAGTTTGTCCCCTGGGCTATCAGCATTTCTCAGCTGCTTTAACCTGTCTCTGTTGCCCTAAGCCCACTCTGAAAAGCTTCCCTGAAAGGCTGACAGCTTTCTCTCAGATGCTCAGAGTGCAACTCCTCTTTCTGAACTGCTGAGTAAAACCATGTCCTGTAAAATCATTTCTGTTCATTTCAGCAGCAAGCTGGTTCCTTGGCTTTTAGGAGATGTCTGGCATAGTCTAGTTCCTGTCCTGTCCCTGGTGTTTCTGATTTTCAGTGAGATCCTATATGCCAAGAGAGCCAAATTGGAAACCACTGTCAGTGGCCATCACTGCCTTAGAAATATTCCTTATGATGAGTCTGGACATTCCCACCACTTGATAGCAAAAATCTGCTAAACTCTTTTGGGGAACGTGCTACATCAAGCTGTGGGAGATGTCTTAAGAAGAGAAAGCCTCCACAGCCAAGCCCATAGAAGGCTGCATGCAGACAGGTACGTACGCTGAGCAGAGGCTGGGCACCGCTGTGGTGGTGGTAGGGTACTTTGCACATTGCTTGGTAATCATACATGGTCACCCTGCAATCGAAACAAAACAAGCAAGCAGTTGAAAGCAAGCAATGCAACTGCCTAAAGGACACATACATCAGCTTTTTCTAAGAAGCCCTTGTATGGAAGAACTAAATCAGCGGCCTGCTTACACATACATGTCTTTGTTGTTTGGTCAGTGCTGGATCTTGCAAAGCAAGAAATACAGGCTCTGGGTTAATGTAACTGGGTCAGTAAAGGAAGAAATATGTCCCTAATTTCAGATGGTGAGTAAAGCAGGCAGCGAAGCAGGAAAATTATAACTGTGAACTACCTCAAGTCCCCCTACTTCCTGTTTTCAAGCCACTGAAACTCAGAACTCTCTTTTGAAATGGGCTGGGGGAGTGGAGTGAGAGAAACAGAGGTATTCTGAGGAGAGAGAGAGAAACGTGCTCAGCCAGCTGCAATGCTACATCTGGGGGACTCTCAAGACCACTGCTCACAGGCTTTCCAAGTGGCAGGAGGAACTGAAGCGCTTTATACCCAAAATGCCAAGAAGTGTTTCCCGTAGCATCTTGCTCTGGAAAACACAGAGGAGCAGCTGCTTTCTAGCCACATGCAGATCAGGAGTTACTGTCTCTCTCAGTGCTTTGCAGCAGGCAGAAGAGCAGAATGAGGAAGAACAGGGAGTGTGGTGATGATGGCTGAGCGAGTCAGGGGAGGAGGCAGGTAGCTGTAGGAGCTGTTTTATCAAAACGAGTCACATGCATCAGCATGTGCATTTTCCCCTGCTGCTCATGGGGACCAGTCTGCTCTGACCCACACACCAGCTAAAGAAAGAGAAGTACAGCATGGAGATCCCCCACTTACCGCCTGAACATGCCCATGTTTAGCAGCTGGGTCATTACTGAGCCATCCACTGCACCCAAGAATTTTCCAGTCTGCAAGCACAAGAAAGGAAAAAAAAACAGAATAAACTGACAACAGTAAAATTTCCAAATGCTCGATGGGACCAGCTGATCCAGTTTGTCTGGAGGCCTACCACACACATAATGGGTGTTTTATAACGAGGTAATGCCAAGCTTTGTCCTTTGGCTGGCTGGAAAGCTTGAGGGAGGACTTCCCCCATCACCAGCTGGGCACTCTGCGCCATTCCTACCACACTTGGAAATGATTTAGCCCACGTAAGTCATGCAGCTTGTGATAGAAAAAGGAGGACTCTCAAGCTGCAGAGACCCAGGCACACTGATTCACTGGAAGACTGGGCTCTCCTGTGGATTTTTGTGAATCCACATCCTCCAGGTCTGAGTGCCTGTGTCTTCTGCTTGAACCTCTCTGCTAGCTCACAGCTGCAGTGGCTTTGGAAACCTTTGCTCTCCAGCTGCACTACGTGAACTGACACACCACATGGGAGTGAACTGGACAGATTTATTTAGGTAGGAAATGCAAGTTTACAACTTGCTGTTGTGCAAGTTCCAAGCAGGCAGTAACCCCAACCACACAAACCCATGCATCTCTTTAGGTTACTATGCACTGGCACAGACAGAGCTATTGCAAAGGCTCCACCCTAACAAAAGTTGCACATGGGACGTAAAAACCCCCAAAACCCACTTGGGTGCCTGAGCTAAAAGCAGAGCTTGTGGCTGTCTGCTCCCATTTATGCTTTGGAGTTAATATAATACCTCAAATACAGTCCTAATCCCAAATCCTGGAACTGCTGCTTTAAAGACTTCTTCGAACAAACAACAGATCTGTCTTTCCTGATTATCAAACCATGACAAATCTATTGCAAAAATGCTTAAAATCTGTCAAGTCCACTGCTTTGTTTAGAAGCAAGTAAATAAAATACTCATAAATAATAAAAGTGCAGATACAAGCTATCCTCCATCAATTTTCCTAGCTCACGGGTCTTGACACAGTTAACACCTCCCATATGTTATGGCAGTGTTCACGCAGTCTGGGGGGGACATTTTCTTTTCCACTGATAGACTAGCAGTGATTTAGCAAGTATTTAGCAGATGACAGATGATTTCATTTATTTGAGTGGGGTATTTCCACTATAAAAACTAGACCCTTAGGCAGATTTACCTAAGATCATATGGTAATCATCTAACAGTAGCGTTACATGAGTATGAGCTTCTTCCCAACAGGCTTTAGAATGCATTTCACTGTATATATCGACACACAACATCAACTCCTCTTCGAGCACTTAGGCTGTAATCATCTCAGACATAGTCAAATGTGTCTGAGCAAGCGCTAACTTTTTTCACCTCCCTCGCTCTTTCAATCTGATTAGGGTGGTAAAAGGAGGCCAGCTGCTTCAATTTAATACCAGTCTGTAGCCCTAGCAGGAGCTAGAGCAATGGGATTTAAGGCAGTGCAAGCTGCAGCTGGTGTGGCAAGGGGAAGTGTCTCACCCTGTTCAGAGATGCTGATGTCTGAATTTCTCCAGGTAGGATGTCGTTCCTATAGGTACAAATATGAGGAGCTTTTAGTATAACTGAGAGAAAAGCTTAGGGTATGTGTTCAGGAAAGCATGAGCAAATTGGCCTTTAACACCAAACCAGACATTCAAACCTTGGTGCTGTTTCAAGTACTCTGTGCAGGTAGTAAGACAGGAAAGCAACACTTGGCAGAAACCTAAGCGGTCCTGCACTGAAGCGACATTTTGCCAGGCAGCTCTCATTACAGCCTGCTTCCTCAGTGACTGGCTGCTGCTCTCCCTGACATTCCCCTGCTGTGTTTCTCCTGATTCCCAGGCTGGGTATTAGGCTGGAAGCTGGGAATTAGGCTGGAGGCTGGAATTGCACAGGCTCTTGCAATTTCAAAGATTCAAAGCACAAAGCATTGCTCTGACATCCTGCGTGTCACATGCTGTATCAGATCCCTCTGCAGCTGAGAGCGTACAAGCGTTCATGCACGCTATGCACAGGAAAGAGATGTATCCTGAAGCACACACATGGCTTGCAAGGTACATCACTGCTTACAGACATACATGTTCCTGTGCTTTGCTGGCTCACTGAACAACCTGCACTTTTGGTACACACAAAAGCTGTAGACAAACAGGATCTGCCAAATGGGCCACGCTTTGGGCAAGCAGAGCAGGCAGCCTCCTTGCATGGCTCAAACAAAGCCTGCCCTTCCTTCTCCACAAGCTGTGCCCACCCCTGGTGGGATCTTGGCCTTTTAGCTACCACCCTGTCCTTGAAGTCCTGCCCAGGCAAAGCTTGCAGATGTCTCAGGGAGAAGGAAGCAGTCCTAGAAAAAAGACGTTTAGTGTGCAAGGGGACATCTAGATGCAGCAGGTGGAGGGAGCTCAAGACCTGTGATCCACAGATGTGCCTCTGGCTGGCAGCAAAAGGGGGCTAAAAACCCAGGGCCAGTCATGGGCCAGGGCTGAGAACACTGGCAGAAACATACTGTGGAGCAGCCCTCACTGCAGCACAGCCTGAGCATGCCACTGACTTTACCTTCCTCCACTGCCCTGGATCACCTGGTCCTTTCCCTTTCTCACTCCCTTCTCCTGGCTCTGGCTATTAACTTTTTGCTACCTCCACAATAAATCTGGATGGGGAGATTAGCCCAAATTAAGAGATTACCCATTCTCCCCAAGTAATCCTGTAGGAAGGTTTCAATGCATCACTCATTAAAATCCTGAGTCCCTCTTTATTCTGTGGTGACTTTTGGCTGCTGGTAAGCTTCCTGCTGCCTTCAGGCAGAGGTTACTAGAGCTGATCCCCCATCCTGATTGCCCATCCGAAGGACAGAGGGAAGCAGAGGCCAAGCCAGGCTGTCCTCTCCCCATTCCTTTGTGAGGCTGCTCTGGTCTCCAGTGTGGCCACCCAAAAAAGAGGTGCATGCAGGAGGCTGAGAACACCATAAAGCACCACAGCTTTATGTGTGCTTGCATCACAAGGGAGCAAGCAGAGAGATGGAGCAAAACATCTCAGAGCCCCCAGGGTGGGTCTCTGGCACTAGCAGCTTGCTCAGGAGCTGTAAGGATACAGGCACTGTTATTCTTAGCTTGCACCTTGCCCCAGGAAGTAGGCATTTTGGACATGAAAGCCCCTTGGCTGCCTTCCTCAGGGTAGTGGGGTTGTGCATGGGGCTCTGATTATGCTGGAGGTGCCACAGCCTGCGTGGTTTACTGGGGTAGATACTCACTCAGGTACCCTAGCTCCTTCAGCATCTGATAAGCCCATTCCCATCCTGACTGATGGGGCAGAACAGGCAGCATGCAGGCAGGCTGCCATTCTGCCTGTTGCTGGACTGAAATGCTGACCCATACAGCTGAGCCACTCTTGCTGGTGTGAGGCAGAGAGGGAGGAGAGTGAACTAGCCAACTTCTCCAGAAAGGCAAAATACACACAGAACCCAGGAATGGGATCTGGGGGGGCATTATGTTAAAAGATGCACTGAGGGGAAGATTGTGGGATGGGGCAAAGAAGACCACATAGCAACAAGTGTTCCCCTGCAGCAGCAGCATCCAAGTGGCAAGGCTATGAAACCCAGGGTACTGCTGCTGTATTGAATTCCCTGTAGTGTTTAACAGTGTGGACACTCCTGGTGCCTCCAGGAAATAAAAGCGGTAACTAGAACAAGATGATGGAATCAGAAGAAAAGTAGTGGTGAACTCTCCAAGGTCAGTGGAGGTAACACCTGGAAGAGGTAACAGCTCTGGTGCCTGCCAAAAGGCCTGATCTTGGAGGCATGCAGATAATGTTTATAATTTACCCAAATCCAGTACAATGCCATGTTTCTACTGGTCAGATCTTTCAGACAGGAGCTTTTGGAAAAACACATTTTCCATAAGATGCAGAAAATACATGGAGGCAGAACCCAGGGGGACAGTGCTGGCAACAAACAGCAGATGTGGTAGCTAAAGGGTGTAGTTGCCTTTATCTATGGACACATGCCATAGGATTCAGCAAAGCACCTTTGAAAATGCCATGCAGGGCAGAGGAGGAAGCTGCAAATCCTAAGATTACCAGCCCATCCTGACCATGCAGCAGGACCTGGTCTCCCAGAGTAAGGAGTCAATATAACTTTACAGCAATTTCCTCCCTTGTATTTTCAAGTTTTCTTTGCCTTTTTTTTTGGCATACCACGTTACTGAAGGGGCACTTTTTACTGGAATATTCAGTAGGTCACTTTCCCAACAGAAAAGAGGTTGGTTATTCCATGCAATATGCCCCCTCCTTGATATCTGTCTATATCGGCCCCCTGGTGCCAATGTGTTGCTGATTCATTTTGCTTTGTGAGCCTCAACAGTTCCCATTTTGGCCTCACTGAATTTACTGCACAGTGCCTGCAGAATTCACGATCTCACCTTTTCTTTTTGCCAGCCTATTTGTAATATGCTAACCAACACAAGTCCAGATGGGAAACCACGGGAATCGTATAACTTGACACTTTCCATCTAAATATCCATCTAAAAATTCCTCATCTTTCTTTTCTGTCCCAGCTACTTTGAGATCAATGCCACTACTTCACTCTTCAACCAGAACTTGTTCAACAGCCTCTTGTAAGGGACTCTCTTCAAGGCTTTTAATAAAACTGACAGGCAGTAGGTCATCCATCCTCCCTTACCTCCTGCTTTACCTACACTTTCAAAGAGCTATAGCTGGTAAGATAGGGTTTTATCCTTTATAGAAGTTCTGTTGCTTGTCCCAATCATATCCATACGGTGTTCTGTTACTTTACTTGCAATTTCTAGTTCAACCTGTTTGTCACATCTTGAAGCAAGCAATTTCTGGGATCAGTTCTACTGACTTTTGGAAATACACATACAGTGTTTGGTAACTCCAGTACTGTGGAAATTTTAATGCAACTGCACACTTCTGTTAGTAACAAAACAGCTTCATTCCCCACTCTTGCTATTGACTTATTGCCTTGTAGCTTATGAGATTGTTCCAACACATCACTTTCTGACATCCAAATCTATGGCCTTTTATTATTTTGAAACAAATAGCTCTGTGGTGAATTTACTGGAGAACAGAAACGTACAGCTAAGCCATGCAGTGGCTGGTAGTGTTGGGTTTACACAGGCTACAGAGAAATCACATCATAAACTGCACCCCTTTAGCTCCCTAGAAATGGTCATGGAGGTACTGGCAGCAAGAGGAAAGGAAGCAACTTCTGTTGTTATATTTTTATTACTATTCTGAGTCTTTTTCCTTGCTCCTTTCACCTCCGTGTGTCCAGCAAACCCTCCAGTTCTTTATATGTTCTCCTGTTTACAATTTGTTTAAACGATTTCATCTTTGTTTTTGCCTTTGGCGTTTTGTTCTTACCATCCTCTTGGTTTCCCTTCCTGAAGAATGCCTGCTTTGACTTCAGAGGCACTCAAAAGTGCTGCTCCCTTCCTTTCCCCCTTCCCTCTTTTCCTTTCCCTTTCCTTCCTTTCAGTTTCCTGAAGTCAGGGCACACCTGCCTTCTGGGATTGCCTCAGATCATCATTCAGTAGATTCTGTGCAGAGAGAAATGAGTCTGATTTCCTCACTCCTGATAAAAAGATATTTTGACTAGCTCCTTCCTTATGACTGCAAATTCCTTCCTCACCTAGGATGTGCTGTCACTCTGCTGGGAGGCTTCCCCCTCATCACACAGCTGAATTTAATTACACCACAGCCACCCTTATTACACAATTCAACTTCATTCGTTTTAACCAGCTCTGGTGGGTTATTTAGGAACACTCTCCTCCTCCTCCTCTTATGCTTTCTTACCTCTGCAGGTCTTTTGGAAACGAGTATAAAGCCGTTGTTATCAATAAGGAAGCAATTCAGAATCTGCAGAGATTAAAGAGAAGCAACATTAAAGACAGCTTTTTCCATGGTTGTGTGGCATGTGCTTCCATGTACTGCTCTGTGCACAATGGCGTGGTGTGGGCTGTGCTTATAGCAACAGCCTTGGCATTTCTATGCCTAGCCCCATGGCTAAGCTATGGGGTTTTACACAATTGACTTTTCCCTCTCTGCCTCTGTCTTGAGGTATTTAGTTTGTGAGCTGACTGTGACAGTGACTGTCTCTTGCCAGGGCTGTGAGCCACACTTAAGAAGACAAGTCACCCTGCAGGATATTTGGAGAGCACTTCTCTAATAAAATGGTATCTAATGCTTTCCATCTTCAGATTTCAGAGTTTTATAACCACTCATGAAATAACCCTCTCCTCACCACTGAGTATCAGTGATGGTCTTTGTTTTGATTTTGCAGAGCAGGAAATCAAGGCACAGAGTTTAGATGAAAACCTTTAGGTCTCACAGGGGAAAACAAGGATGCAGGGGAAATCGCACATTAACATAGAACAAAAATTCTCTGGTGTTCTCACTCTCCAGGACAGAGGAGCTCCTGTCCCAAATATGCCTGAGACCAAGGTTAAAGCAGTGGCCTAAATGCAAAGAGGGGTGTCCAGTGTGCCTGTCATGCTGACAGCCACTTTCTTTGGAAGACCTCGGATGACAGTGAGGCAGCCTTAGAGGAGATGGACTCTCCTTAGAGTCACTGGCTGGAATCTCCATATCTCTGCCTTGGCTCAACTGACATCTCACAGTAAAGGGGAAAACTTAAACAGCAGGTTTACCTCAACAGCTCAAGGTCCTGCTCCCAGCTCTGCAGCCTTTTGTGATGAGGTGACAAGCAATACCTTTTTGTTCAGTGTGTGTATAGGTGTGTGTGTGTGAGATCTCCACAGAAGAGGTATTCAATCACATCCATCACAGGTACAGGGAAGAAATCTGGGCAACTTACGTCATCCTGACAGCTTAGTGGACAGGCACCGTCCAAGGCACTGCACTGGAAAGGAAAAGCAGAGAATTAAGCATGGCACGACCTCATCTTACAGTCTCCCCTGTGGGACTGCTGAGCTAAAGGTCTCCACACTACTATCACATGAAGCTCTGCAATTTAGCTGGCATTTCCCCCAAGACAAGCTCTTGAGCATGCAGAGGTACCACCCCCTAAGTTGGCCACCCCGTGCCTCTGTGTGCTCCCCACCTCTCTGAGCAACATCTCCATTGCTGAAGGCTTTGATCCTGCACCTGCCTCCCTGATAGGGTCCCTGTGCACTTCAAGCAGAGGTGTCTTTTGTAAAGAAAGGGGACAGCATCAAGCTCTCTGGCTGCAAATGCAAAGGTTATTGTGCACTGGTGAGAAACCAGCATGCATTTCAGCATCTGCTGGTATCTGCACTAAGCACAGAGCATGGTATTTTAGACCAGGATTCTTCTCCAGCAGGGATTTTTTGTTGTTGTTGCTGTTGGTTTCTTTATTCTCCAGACAGCTAATGATAAAATAGGATGTGAATGGTGCTCATGTAGCCCAAGGCACCATCCATTTGTTTCATTTAGGATTTCTGTGTACCGCACTTGACATGTGTTTCACAACGCTGAACTTGGTGGGGACACGAGGGGTTAAGTGGTGAGTAACAAAGCCCTTCAGGTAGTTATTGATTTCATAATTGTTCCAAGTTTGCCAGGGCTGTGCCTGTCTGTCTCTTTGTGTTATTTTCGAATGCTATTTTCTCCAGCAGCAGAGGGAAGAAAGCTGGCAAGGTGTTGCCATTTCTGTACACGGGGTCCCTTTCCTGCCTGCCAGAGGTTTTCTGGGGTCAGGGAAGGACACTAAAGTGCTGTGTGGCCTGCCTTCTCTCAGCCTGCTGCCCTTTATTTCCTTACAACCCTTATGCATAAACCCCAGACCCCTTTCTGAATGATTCTCAATAACAAGAGGTGAATTTTCCGTTTCAAATCACAAGAAGACTGTTACTTTCGGTTAGAATTTGTTTCAGAGGAGGCTTGGAGATGTCTGGGTTTGTTTCAAGCCCTGTGGCTTTGCAATATTGCATGCTCATGCTCCAAATCCCACTGGCTTTTTGAGGCTTCGGGGATGATGGTTTAATAACGTTCCTTTACCCACACTTGCAAGCATCATCTCACCCCTTACGAAACAGCATCATGTTGTTTTGTTTCCCTGGACATATGCATAGAAGTGGCCGTGTACTTCATCCCAAGTGGGTTCTTTCCTTTGGTCATCAGAGAAGTACGGCTGCAAAGAACCACTATTATGGCCTTGGGGGATAAGAAATACAGAATCCAAAGCATGAAAATCAGAACAGAAACCCAGGTGAACCAGAGTGGTTTCCAACAAGAAAGGCCTATACCTCACAGCATCTTCCTCAGCAATGTGAGGACTGAGTCTTGCTGCCGCTGCCCTTCCAAATTGGAGAAGATCCAGCAGTGCCCAGTGCTGGACTAGCTATGCAACAGTAGGACTGTGGTGAGAAGCCTGGGCTGAGAGCACCAGCAGCTTGCAGGGAGCCCCTGAGGTGGGGGAAGAGCTGATCCTGATCTCCCTGATTGCTCTGAGACCATATCTACTATGTTACGGGCACAGGTCCTTCCTCAGAGACCAGCTTACTTCACAGTATCTTCCTGCTGTTGGTCAGATCTCTGAAATGCTGTGACCCAGAGCACTTTGAGCTTTGCCAAAGACACTTAATTACTGTGAAGACAAACACAGCCTACGACAGGATTGGACTGTCTCCAGTGACTACAGACAAGGGACAGTGCCTATAATATGCTGGCACACAAACAACACAATTATGAAGCCAAGAGCTGTGGAGAGGCCTGCTGGGATGCCTCCTCATCCCCAGCTTTTGTCTACTTACATCACTGTCATTGGGCTGGGAAACGGGAGGCACAGCATGGACATCCAGAGCGGCACAGCATGCGGTGAAGTGGGAGAGAGAAAACAAGATCTGTTAGTCATTCCTCTGTCAAATGGAGGTCACGTTCTCTGGAACCATATGCAGGCTCTTTTTCATACCAGCACCTAGCAGGGCCATGGGTTGCAGGCACTTGGCACACAGGCCTTTTTTCAGCTTCTTTAATAAGGCTTCCCGGTTTCACTTAACACCCATGTGGGCTTCTTTGTGTGAGAACTCCCTGGGTATGGCCCTAAGGAGATATTTAAAAATGAAGCTCTCTGCTGATGCACCAGGATATGCTCACGCACTTTGCAGAAGTATTTTTAGCTCAGGTTAGGTTTATGTGATATCCCACCTGTGAGGATGCTCCTGCCACCACAGCCAGCTCTGAGCTTCTCCATTCCCCACCTGTGCTCGCTCCCAGCAAGCAGCCTCCTGCCCTTCTATCTTGTCATCCCCATCTAACAACAGTTCCCTTTTCTGACAGCAGAGAGACACTTCTGCTGCATGCTGCTTTGGTCCCATCAGTCTCACCCCTCCAATATACCTTACCAAAAACAAAGCCAGGGGAAAGCCTCTGGGTGGTAAGGGAAAGGTGTTTCACTTTTCCTGACTCTCAGACCAGGGCAGCTGTTTTAATTATTCCATTTCTTTCAGTCCAGCAAGAATTTCCAAAATTAGGACACCACTGAAAGCTTATCCCTGGAGCAAGTGATTTTTATTTTTGCAAGCTGGTAGCATTTTGTTACCATTACCAAGATAAGAGAGCGCAGTACATTTTTTTTTTTAACATGTGCCCAAAATTGCAGATTTCCATGAGGTTTCTGAAAGGCTGAATGAGCACAAACATATTTCCACAATTAAATGTGTCATATGCAGCAGAGCTAATGCCAGGCCAGGATGCTGACACTGTCAACACAGCATTTGCGGAACAGATTCACGACTCACATGGCATTAGTGCCGTCAAAGGATTACAGAAATGTGTGACTTCAAACTAATCTACTTCATAAATCTTTTAATATGAATGTCACAAAAGCCTTCATCAAAATGCCATCATATGTGATATAACAGTATCGACCTAGCTGATGAACAGCATTAAATTGCCTCTCTACATGACTGCTGATACTCCTACCTGTTGCATGGCCATCCAAAACTTGCGTTGGAGCAAATCCAGCTTGATTTGCACACCCACCGCTATAGGAAACAAGAAAGGGGGAGGATGAAAAGAGGAAAGTACCAGAGACAGAAGGACAAATACAAATTAAGAAAGGAGGAGTAAATATTTGCCTGAAGTGATGGGACGGAAATCACAATTGCAATCTTCTTCCAAGTGTGAATGATAAGCATCAGGGGATCAGTGCTGAGTCAGACTGCCAAGTGAGAGTCAGTGGTTTAACAATGCAGAGGAAAAGGGGACAGTGTCTGTACTGAGGTACTGACACCTCCCACCCACTAAACACTATGGAGCTACAAAAAAAGTCCCACCAAAAAACCCAGGGCAGCAAGCATGTGAACTTTCATCTTTGTCTTTTGTAGATTTGCAGATGTTTCTGATCACCCCAGCCTCAACTGTTGCACAGCACAGCATCAGGCGGAAATAAAGTAGGCCAGTGTGAGGAAGGGACTCATTCAAAACCCCACCTGTCTCACGGGGAGACCACAGCAATTTAGATGGCTCCTAAGCCATTACAAAAGCACGGAAATATGAATGCCATTTGACAGAAAGGTGTTGATTAGAAGCAGTGCTTTGTTACCCGGTCCCAGCCGAGTGAACAGTGGGCTAAGCAGAAGTGTGTTTCTTAATGAAGTGTGTCCTAATTTCTTGGCTTAATTTCTCTTCTATTCCCAGCATCATGTTCCTGAAGTAAGGCATAGCTTCACAGGAGAAGAAATAGTGCAGGGTCTCCCTGACAGAATAACCTAGCTGTCCCTGGGTAGGTTGCTTGCAAACACACGTAATAACCAGTGCAGTTGTGTGCAGCCTGGCACAGTGACAGGAGCAGTGGTGCTGTGTGTCAACTAGTTGAATCCAAATGCTCTGCAGGAACTACAGCCTCAAGCAGGACCTTGAAATAGAATGTAAAATGCAAGTGAGGGAGAAAAAGAAGCACAGAGAGGGAAAGTTTGAGCCTTTTTTCGCAACCACCGATATCGGGTGGATGAAGTGCTGCTGTTTCTACAGATTTCCTCTGAATTACCAGGACCTTCAAAGGGGGAACAGATCCTTTAAATCTGAATCATGCTGTGTGGGTGCTTTTAAGTTAACAGTATGATCTGATGCTCTAATTCAGATGGGTATGAATTAAAACTGGAGTATGCAATGGTATATTTCCTTGCAACATGTACAGAGACCCTGGCACCCGGCATCAGTTCTGCCTTTTATATCAGTGTCCTTGTCACATTCCCACTGCTATTACATCTTACAAAATCCCGTGTATCGCAGGTGCATTTATTATCCAGCTCTCCGTGCTGTAGACTGAATCTGACTGACTGTACGTGAGGAAAAGAACGATTTTGTAGAGCTGCCTTGCCCTAAGCTGTGCAGAACACAAACCAGACAAGACAAAGAACGTAAACAAAGGAGAAAGGATGAGGCTGAGTCCAGCTTGAGTGAAGATTTATCAGCTTCAGAGGGGCTATTGCAGGCATGGTTTGGCTTGGTGCCCCTGCTGACAAACCGGCAGCCCATGACAGAAGGCAAGCGGTGCTGTTGCTGCTGAGTCCGATGAGGCCCACGCATCCGATTTGGTATGTAGCTTTAAATAAATTCATCGTTTTCCTTTAACACCATCTCAGGAAAAAGTTATTCCCCTTATTACAGCAGATCACATCAACAGAACTGAGCATTATTCAGTACATGGAGTTTTTATGAGACCTGAAGAGGAGTTGACACCTGCATAACTAACCTTGCAATGCAGAGGCTTACTCAGTGGCTCATGTTTTTGCCAGTGGGAACATCTAGCCTTAAACTGTTCTTCAAGGTGAGCTTAGCCTCTGATTGTGAATTCTTGCCTCTGCTCAGGAAGCATAAGTACCATGTACCAAACTTGGACAGAGTTGCCTACAACATGAGGAAGGATAGCTCCTGGAGGCTTGCGTTGGTGTCTGGTGTCAGGGACAGAAAGCAAAGTCTCCCAGCTCTCTTTTTCCTCTTTCCACATCCACTCACAGCAATGTCTAACCTGTCCCTGCCATCTGTCATCAATCCTTGTCCTTTGGATGCAATCTTTGCAGCCCTAACTTTTCTGTAGGGCTTGAGCTTACACATCTTCTCTGCATTAGCCCTTCCTTTCCTCCCCAGTGGTCCAGCACCCATTTCTAGCTATTCCTCATGGAGCCGTGGTGAGCACTACTCTCCTCCTCACATCATGGCACAGTCTGAAGAGGTCATTGAAAGCAAAGCTGGGAGCTATTCTGCCTTGCAGCCAGGTTTGTCTGTTTGGATGTACACATTACAGGGTACCACACTGGAGGGATTGCTCCATACTCCTGCCTGGCACCACCACTCCTTGCCGGTCAATAGGGATTGGCAGCTCATGGCAAGAGCTGTGAGAAAATTCCACACATTCAGGTGACCTGAGGAAAACACGAGAGCTGAGGGGAAACATGCCCCAATCACCCTCCCAGTGCTAGTAACAAATAGGTGCCTGGGTGCCTTCAGGCTATTGGCGAGGCTGGGGAGAAAGAAGGAAACTGGTAATTCAGCCTGAGGCAAGGATGATGCTACAGCTCATGTGAGAGGGAGAAAACTGGACTAAACCCTTCTCTGCTTGTTCCAAAGTACAACTGATCGTTAATGAGCCTTTTTGTTCTGGTGGCAAAGCATATACTGCAGCAGTGGGAAGATCTGAAGCCTGCGAAATGATGAGTGGCTCCAGTGTGCAGCACAGCAATAACCGTGGAGTCCTCAGAGAGATGGTAGGTTTATTCCTACCACTGTGCAAACACCCTGTGCAACTGTAGCGTCCTAGCAGGGAAATAAAACACGTGGACCAGCAATGCTGTGCACTTTGCTTAGTTAGTATCACTTAGTTAGTATCACTTCATGTTGATGAGGTACCCAGACCTGTGAATGACTTCCCATCAAACCCAAGCAATGCCCACTGGATGGCTGCTGCTGGTTTTCTCTGGGATCTTGAGCTGCGATTCACTGTGGAGACAAGAGCCTTCCCCTCCACCTGTTCATCCCTCTGTTGAGCATGTCTGCCTCATTAGCTCATCCTCTGCTTGTCTCTCTGTCTGCCTTCCCTGGCTTCTCTCATTGATTGTCCATATGCTGTTCTCATAAGGAGCTTTCCCCAAGATTTAACTCTTGGGCCTGATGCACAACAAAAAGGCATAACAATCACAAGGCCACATCCTGTAAAGTGCTAATCAAGATTTACCTTGTCATTAACAACCTGTTTACATGGCAGTTGGTCCAGTAGTTAAATAAAACCTGTGATTCAAATAGAAGAAGCACCACAGCAGCAGAGCAGCCCTGCCCATACTGTCCATTTGCATTCCCCATTCTCTATTTCTGAAATATTCCTATTTTCCCTCTCAAGCCAGCAGTGGAGCTGCCCCACTCAAAATTTTACTTGAAGCCCCCTAAAAAATTTACTTAAAAAATAACTTCCAGGCAACTTAAAATGAACAGAAAGCTCAAACCAAGGGCAGCCTGTTTACAGTACTGGACCTGACAGAAGAGGCAGTTCAGGTGGATCAGTGAAAGAGTAATTCTTGCACATACGAGCTACAGAGGTCTTCAGCAAGCTGGACGGAGGCAAGCAAGGGGTCTGATCTGTGGGATTGGGGTGGCTGCAGGAGCCCACAGGAGAGCACAGAGGGAAGCCTGAAAGAGGCAGTGGGTTGGATTTGATGGTACCAATAGGCTGTGTCAGGGAGGGCAGGGGATGCCTCTGTCACTGCGTGGATGTAACCACACCCCAAGCTGGACACATCTCCCTGCCACACACCAAATGCAGGGGAATGAACTGTGGGTGCAAACACTCCTCTCTTTCACCCATTCCCCTCATTCCAACTACTCCCTACAAGCACTCCTCAAGTTTTCCCTGATTCCTCAAGGACACAGACACAGGGTCATGCTGCATGCAAGGAGGGAAGCATTACGGCAGTTGCTGGGGATGCTGGCTGTGGCTGGGCATGATGTGACCAGCCCGCAGTGGCCACCTCTCTGTTAAGTCTCTCTGTCAGACACACTGCCTCCCCCCACTGTCTCTGGAGCACTGGTGGGAAGGGGGTGCCCTGCTCCCAGGCCCCCTGTGTTTTCCCCCACTGCTTCCCCTTCACTGCAGCTGCTCATCTCAGCCCTATACAAACCCCAGGGCTTGTCCCTTCTCCTTGTGCTTTTCTCTCTCCGTTTATTGTCATCAGCCATTTACCAGGAAGGGGAGAGATGGAGGGAGGGGAGGAGGCATTCAGCTCGGTGCCTCCTCTCATAACCTGAGCCTGACCAATCTGCCTCCCGAGGGGCTGTGGGGAGCTACCTCTCCTTACCCCTTCATGAGTCCCTTGGCTCCCGCAGACGGATGGAGGCAAGGGGAGGAGGGGGAGAGAGGGACTGACAGCAACTGCCCTTTCTTCAGGATGGGTTGAGAGATACGAGAATCTCCCGAGCTCCTTCCTGTGGGTATTGCGGAGCAGACCCTGCCTGCCTGGCGGGGTGACTCCTCTGCACTGTCTGTGCGCGCTCCTGTGCGTGTGCTGCTGCCATCACAGATGTACCCCCAGCTGTCACTTCGCTGCGCGCAGTCGCTCCCTCTCCCGTCTCTCTTTCCTTCTCCCCCTATTTATTATTTACGGAGGATTACAGTTCCTTTCCCACGCTGCCATCTCGCCGTGAGGTTCCTCTGCCCTCCGTGTGTGGCGAGCGGCTGGCTAGGAGGGGCTCCTGGCAGCTAGGGTCCGTCGAGAGCCCAGCCGGCAACGGAGGCACTTTCTGCTGAATTTGCTCTGGGATTGTACCGGGTTTGCTGACAGAGCTGTCGTACTCACAGGAGGGTCCAGCCCAGCCCCAGAGAGGTAAGTAAAGACGTCTCTTTTGTATTCCCCCCCCCACTCCCCACCTATGTGAGATCAGTGGAGCTGGCCCCAGGAACCGGCTTCCCTGGGGAGGAGAGCGGTGGTCAGGGGCAGCACTGCCTGCCAGGCGGCACAGTGCAGGAGTCCCGGTTGTGCGAGGCTGCCAGGCA